GAAACTTGTTTTATGTGGAATATTTTAGCTGTCAAACAGCTAAAGTCTCTGTGCTCGATTTAGTCTGGACTTTATTTGAGGCCAGGCTCCAAATGTGAATGTGAACCCACCTCAGATACCAGTGCCACTATCAGAAACACAGTTCCTATGAAACAGATTCTTTATAACAGCTGGGAACATTAAAGACAATCAAAGGAAATGATTCTAAATATCACAGTAACAGCTGACTGATGAGTAAATGGAGACTATACTCATTCCATTCACAATTTTACGATAAACAACTGAACGTCCCACACGACCACATGTTCATTCAATTAGGCTAGCCCGCTTGAATTTTCTTATAAGTCATTGATTCAACTAAGCTCTTGACACTGATGATACATCTGTGGATATTTTCTTATGCATTGAACACAAAAGCCATATTGAAACTCTGCTGAGTGAGTGCTGCACTGCCAGAAGTGCTGTCCAGGTAATAATCCATTAAACCAAAGCCTTGCTCAACCTCGAAGGTTGAGTTAAAAGATCCCATGGCAGTACTTTGAGGGAGACCATTCAGGCTCTCCACGGTGACCATACTGATATTGATCCCCCAGTACGATCAGAAAAACTGACTTTCTGGTCATTATCATGATACTGTCTGTGAGAGTGCTGTTTGCAAATTACCATCCCTGTTTCCCACGTTATAAGAGTGACTACACTTTCAAAATACCCCCGTAACTGTACAGAGCTTGGGGCCGCACTGAAGTTGAGAAGCGTTTGGTGAATGAGAACCGATTCAGGATGGGAGGATTTTGCTAAGGAGTTGATGGGGGCCTGTGAGAGGTTAGCAGGGAAGCTGCAAAGATAATAAGGGAAGGCCAAAGTGCAGATAGCAAGTGATGAGAGTAGCTGAGATTTATGATAATGTAGGGAAGAGAAGAGAACACAGGACCTGGGTCACACTGTCAGAACCAGAGAGAGAGAGAGAGGGAGAGAGGGAAAGAGAGTCAGAACCTAGATCACATTGTTTGAAGAGGCGTAATTCCAATTGAACTGAGTAACTGAGTTTGTTCTTCATAATACCCTCTGTTCAGTTTTGACTCTGCCTCGCTGCATGTTCTTGCTGAGAGCCTGTTTTTACAGTTCATAGAATCATAGAATCCTTACAGTGTGGAAACAGGCCATTCGGCTCAACAAGTCCACACAGCCCCTCCAAAGATCATCCCACCCTGACTCATTTCCCTACCCCTGCATTTCCCATTGTCTAACCCAAACATCCCTGAACACTTTGGGCAATTTAGCATGGCCAATCCACCTAACCTGCACATCTTTGGACTGTGGGAGGAAACCAGAGCACCCAGAAGAAACCCATGCAGACACGGGGAGAATGTGCAAACTCCACACAGACAGTCACCTGAGGGTGGAATCTAACCTGGGTCCCTGGCCCTGTGAGGCAGCAGTGCTAACCACTGAGCCACCGTGCTGCCGAATTGAATTGAATGATTTATTGTCACTTGTATTTTACAGTGAATAATACAGTAAAATACGATGAGAGGATTGCTAATTGCCATTTTGAATAGATTAAGAATAAAAAGATATGGCTGAAGAAGAGTCTATCTTCATTCCGCTGCCTCTCTCATGAGTCCTAAGCTGTCATCCCTCCTTTACCTCCTCATTGCCGCCTGTGTTGGATCCACCAACATAGGAGTTGCTGCTCTTCAGGTACCATCCCTTCGCTGCTGGGCCCACCTTGCTGATGCTGCTGCCGATGCCAATGTCGGGTACTGTGCTGAACCCACGCTCGCCCTGCAAGCAGGAATCCCTGGCTCCACTGCCACCGCTGCCATGCCGATAAGTAGGAACACTAGGCTCCGGGCCTACTGCGACTGCAACCAGGAGTGCCAGGCTCTGCTGCAGCCTCAATGATGCCAGGAGTAGTTTTTCAGTTTTTGCTGCTGTCACTGGACGTAGTGGAGGGAATTCTGGTCAGAACACTTGAAACCAGCAGCATTCACATCTCTGATTTTTGTTTTCAAGTTTCTGTGACCAATGTTACAGTTCCGTCATCTGCATGAAATTTCTCTGACCTGAGTTCAATTCAAATGGTCTGCTTATGAAATTAATTCTGTTTACATCCGTCTCATAGCCTTTTAAGATCCCCAAGCATGAGACACACTCACGTAATCTCCTTATATTTGCCAAAACACCTTAAAAGATTTTCCTTGTGTGAAAGAATAAGTTTGCAAAAATAGCAGGCAATATTGCTCACAGTGAGTCTGAGATTCTCGCAAGAGATGGAATTATGGAAGTGGGGGAGTATCTCATTGCAAGGATGAAGAAAGAATTTTTTAAGAGATCTTCCCAGATGGCAGAGTATATATTGATGAGAAATAAACTGTTGATTCTTTACCTATTTCAGGTTGTCAAATAAATTTGTTTCCTTCAAGTGTCTGTACAAGTTTCTCCTTTACTGTGACATTTGAAAAGGAAGACAAAATACAAATTTGCTTAAATGTATCTTTGTATGCTTCTTTGCTTTACAATAAAAGCACAGTTGTCATCTGTTTATTGTAAAGGGTAGGATTCCTCCCACCCAGTGTTCAGTCCCATGTTCTGCCCTACCCCATGCTCCAGTAGATGCCAGTGAGACAAACCACATCTCACACCCAGTTCTGATAAACTATGATACTAAACCAAAAGATTATATAGAAACATGCCATTCAGTCACAATGGAGAACGTTGGTGCTGTTTCTCTATAAGAACCTTCTCCCGCCCTTCAACACGTAATCTTATATCCTTCTGTTCCTCCCTCGTATCTAGTCAAGTAGATTCCCCTTGAATGCGTTTATGCCTCTCTGTCAACATTTTGTATTCTTTCAGTGGATGTGAGCCTTGCTGATAAGGCCAGCATTTATTGCCCGTCCCTACTTGGCCTGGAAAAGGCACTAGTGACCTGCGTTCTTGAACCACTGATGTCCTTCATGTAGGGACACCCACTATGCCGTTAGGAAGGGAGTTCAATGATTGTAACCCAGTGACAATAAAGTTACAATGATATATTTCTAAGTCAGGATGGTTTATAGCCTGGAGATAACTTTCAGGTTGCGGCATTGCCATGTGTTTGTTGCTCTTATCCTCGTTTATGGGATAGAGCTCACGGATTTGGAAGATGCAGTTGAAGAGCCTGGGGCAATCGCTGAAATGCATCTTGCTATATTGCACTCGTTGCTGTCAGTGTGCATCAGTGATGAAGGGATTAAATGTTAGTTAAGTGAGCTGCTTTGTTCTGGTTAGAGTTGGGCTCCTTGAGTGTTGCTGGAGGGTCACTCAGCAGGCAGATGTGGAGTACTGCATCACAGTCCGGACTAGGACCTTGCAGATGGTGGACAGGTTTTGGGGAGTCAGGAGGTGCGTCATACGTCTCAGAATTCCCAGCCACTGACCTGTTCCTGTAGCCACACCATTTATATAGCTCGTCCAATTCAGTTTCAGATCAATGGAATCACCATAAATGTTGACCATGGGAACTCAGTGACAGTGAATGCCATTGAATATACTGCGGCTACATGAGGCTAGGGATTTTCCTGCAAGTAACTCACCTCTTGGCTTTTGTCCAAAGTCTGTTGACCATCTACAAGGCATAAGTCAGGAATGTGATGGAATATTCTCTACTTTCCTGGATAAGTGCAGCTCCAAGGATATATGGGGAGGTTCATGTCATCCAGGGCAAAGCTTGTTTAACGTCCCATCCACTCTATTCCGTACTCTGCGCCGCCTCTCAGGACACACAGCAGCAGTAATGAGTATCGCCTATAAAATGCAATGCAGCAACTCACCAGCACTCCTACACACCTGTATGTGAGTCTCGTCAGTTTCTGATCATTCGACCACACTTTAAGATAAATTCTACAAATTGTGACTACACCCTCAGACTTCTGCCATATGATCTTCACTAGACTATAGTCTCTGTCCAGCCTGACCCTGCTTTGCCAAGCTACTATCTCTTGTTGTGTATGGTATTGGCCCTGAAAGAGTTAATATTGAAGTTGCATTAACTCCACCCAATTTGATTATGTATTTGTGTGGAGGCAGTGCATTCTACTTTAGCTTTTGTAGGACGCAGATGGATTCTATGCCGCCCCCGAGAATCCTTTGTAATTATGCCTGACTTCTGCTATAAGTCCTGATGCCACATTGGGACCCTCCTGATTGGGGATCCCCCATATCAGGACTGATTGCAGAGGCAGTAATGCAACCATTAGAATGGACAGTGCTCCACAATCCATTCCAAACTCTGGGTCCACTATGTCGATGATGCCTTTGGGATTATCAAACACACAAGACTAGAAGAAACCCACCAACACATAAACAACATCCTCAGCGGAATAAAATTCACTAATGAAGAAGAGAACAATAACCGATTACCCTTCCTGGATGTAATGGTGGAACACAAGAACAATGGGGATCTCCAGACTGGCGTACACAGAAGGACAACACATATGGACCAGATACTTAATTACATCAGCAACCACCCCAAAACCCATTAGGACAATATTCAAACGGGCCACAACACACTGCAGCAACCTGGAATTGCATGAAGCAGAACTGGAACACTTATACGGAGTTTTTGAAAGGAATGGATGCCCAAAAAGTACAATCCGCCGTGATATTGGAGAATTTTGCCCACCACTTTGAAATATCATATCACTATTGATCAATCAACATACTCATTGAACATTCTAATAGTCATGGAACTGATATTGGTGCCTAGCACCACGAGCCTACCATTCTGTAAAATACTGCAATTCACAAAACTCGATCTTTGTCACATCTATTTCCTGTTTTACAATGCTTCTACACAAATAGTAATGCTTGGCTGATCCATCTTTATATCAATGTTTACGTGCAAGGGCAGAGCCCACAAAGAAGACCTGTCTGCATTCATTTCATGCTTTCTCAGACATAAATCCTTGGAATCCCCGCATTCATTCTCTCCATAGCTGGTGCTGCGGTTTTCCTACCTTCCCAACAATTGCTCAGATTATTTCCTTATACTCCTGCTCTGCAGAGGTTGGAGATTGATCTCAGTCCCCTGCAAAAGAAAAGGGAGAATTAGGATATTTTGCATCATCCGGTTTGGCACCCTGTCTAGGAACAAGCCACTTCTTGCTGAATCCATTAGTCAGGTCTACAAATGAGACATCCCATGACTTAGTCTCATATACAAATAAATGTTTGGAAAAGTCCCCACTGCTTCTAATATTCCAATAAATGAAAACTCTGTATTGGCTTCTGCTTCATTTAATTTTTTACATCAGATTTCCCAAAGCTCTGCCATCTCTAGCACTACATGACAAGATAAATATCAAGTCTATTTCAATTTATAAACCAAAACCAAAATCATTCTGTACAGCTTCTCATATTACTGTCATTATTATTTTGCTTGCCTCAATTTTTAGTCCCAAGTCCCTCAATTTGTCTCCTTCTTTAAGACACTCTTTCTGCCCTAACACTGACTTCTATTTTGATTTTATTTGATTAGGCTTCGCTGAAGCACTTTGAGATGTTTTTACTATGTAAAAGATGCTGCATAAGGATGAGTTGCTGTTTGAGATTTATCCTGTCACCTTTTATCATTTGGACAAAGTCACATCAATTTTCATTACCATTCGCCTCACACACTTCCCATTTCCCTTCGTCAGGTTGAACATCCAAGACATGTGTTTGAACATGAACTCTATCTACTTTCACTATTTGCTTTCTGCTGTCTTTCCCATTTTCTGTGTTTTTTTTCCCTTTACATTTCACTCTTTTCTTTGTGATATTTTATATTAATCACTGTCAAATCTTTCCACCAGAATTTCAACAAAATTGCATACAATTTCAACCCTCTCCAACAATTGTGCACATGCGTCCATAGAACAAGTCTTAGTTAAATGATAAGTTAGTTAACGATAAATTCAGGATATCCGTATTTTTCAGCCACCACAAGCTACTCTGAATTCAAAAGTAGCGTGTTCATATGATCATTCAAAGTCTTCTGCATTTTGCTTTTCTGTCCACATTGCTTCATTCAATTGACTGCACAATCCTTTCTTTCCATGGAAGTAGAAGTGTCTCTGAGTTATCTCCAGATTCTCACCCTTTGGGAACATATCAGGTTCCACACTTCTCCAAATTGTAATGCCATTCTGTGCTAGTGGCAGGTAACATCTGTGCCTCACAAATGCCAGGCAATGAGCATCTCCAATTAGGAATAACCTAACCACCACCCCTTGACTTTCAACAGTGTTACTATCACTGAATACTCCACTATCAACATCCTGGGGGGTTATCATTGACCAGAAACTCAACTGGAACTGCTATATAAATACAGTGGCTACAAGAGTAGGTCGGAGGCTTGGAATACTGCAGTGAGTAACTCCCCAGAGCCTGCTCAACATCGATGAAACACAAGTCAGGAGTGCAATGGAATACTCCCCACTGGCCTGGATGGGTGTAGCTCCAACAACACTGAAGAAGCTTGACATCAGCCAAGACAAAACAGCCCACTTGATTGGCACCACATCCAAAAGCATCCACTCCCTTGACCACCGACACTCTGTGGCTGTAGTGTGTATAATCTACAACATGCACTGCAGAAATTCATGTTAGATCCTTAGATGGCACTTTCCAAATCAACAACCATTCCATCTAGAAGGACAAGGGCAGGGGAACACCACCACAGCCAGCTCCCCTCCAAGCCACTCCCCTCCTGACTTGGAAATACGTCACTGTTCCTTTACTGCTTCTGGGTCAAAATCCTGGAATTCCCTCCCGAGTGGCATTGTGGGTCTACGTGCAGCACATTGGCTCAAGACAGCAGCTCACCACCACCTTCTCAAGGGCAAACAGGAGCAAGCAATAAAAACTAACCAGCAATGGCCACATCCCAAGAGAGAATAAAAACAAAATCCATGTTCTCTTGAGAAGACCTAATGTTTGGTGACTGACGGATGTATTTTATATCAGACTGATCTCTAGACTGATTATCTAGAATGGTGCCGGGAAATGACCAGCACCAACAAGAGAAATTTACCCATCTTTCATTGGCATTCTTTGCTAAGTCCTCCACTATCAACATTCTGGAAGATATCATTAATCAGAAACTTTACTTGTTTCACCATATTTATTTGTTTATATAAATATGACAGTTTCAAGAGTAGGTCAGAGGCTAGGAATTGGGCAGTAAGTGATTCACCTCAGGACTCCCCAAAGCCTGTCCACCATTTACAAAGCACAAGTCAGAAATCTGATGGAATATTTCCCCTTTGCCTGGATGAGTGCAGATCCAACAACATTCAAGGAGCTCAACACCATCCAGCCTGCTTGATTGGTACCACATCCATCATCTTAAATATTCACTCCCTCTACCACTGACGCTCAGTAGCAGCAGTGTGTACCATCTATAAAATGCATTGCAAAACTCACCAAAGCTCCTTCAATAGCATCTTCCAAATCTGTGACATCTACAGCCTAGAAGGACAACATACATGAGAAAGCCACCACCTTCAAGTTCCCTTCCAAACCACCCATCACTGAGACTTGGAAATATATTGCTGTTTTTCAGTGTCCACTGGATCAAAGTCCTGGAATTCCCTCCTTAATAGTTTTGTGTTGTATCTCTAACCAGTAGACTATAGTAGTTCAAGAATGTGGTTCATCAACACCTTTCCAAGAGCAATTAAAAATTGGTAACAAATGCTAACCTAGCCAGCAATGCTCACATCCCATGAAAGAACACTTAAAACAGAAGGACTGTTGCAGAAAATCTTGTATTCAGTCTCTGCTTATGCATTCAGTTAGAGGATCTAGATGCAAATCAATGGGCTCTCAGGCTCTAACTGAACAGTAGTCACAGATGTAAGAGATAAAATTAAGCCCAGCTGTAAATTAGAGATAGTAAGAACTGCAGATGCTGGAGTCAGAAATAACACAGTGTGGATCTAGAGGAACACAGGTCAGGCAGCATCAGAGGAGCAGGAAAGTTGACATCTTGGGTTGGGACCCTTCTTCAGAAATGGGTCCCGACCCAAAACGTCAACTTTCCTGCTCCTCTGATACTGCTTGGCCGGCTGTGTTCCTCCAGCTCCACACTGTGTCAGCTCTAAATTATGTTGTTGCAAAGCTGAGGTTATATATTTGGGCCTGAAAGGGTTAATAGTGAGAAGTACAATAATTACTGCCCAATATGATGATGTCCTGTGGACTCATGGGCACGACAGCTTAAGGTCTTGAAGGGGTAAGCCTCAACATCGGGTCCTCCTCAGAATCTCTGGAACAATGTCTCTCATATTAATGTAACTAGTTGATAATTTGAAATAAACTAAATCTTGTTAATTACAGTAGATTGTTTTAGCTCGACCAGGAAGTGTTTTTCCTCTACCACACTAGACCAGTCAGCCCTGTAGTTTCCTACAATGAAAGAGGATGGTGAGCAGCAGATTATACTGTTTAGTGAGCTGGCATGGTGATACAACATGTACCACACAAAGCCTTCACTGTCTATTGCACAAGTGAAGACCTCCAGACTGGCATGAAGTCTTCATGTACACATTTATCCTTAGGCTGACTTATTGCTCTTGTGTTCTAGGTAATCCCTGAATTCCCAGAATGGGAATTGGAGCCATCTTTCTGCCTTCATTGAAGATTCTAACTTCATTATCATTCCTCCATCTTGATTTCACTTCATGATGTATCTGCTTGCCTCAAAATACCCTCCAAGTTTCTCAGCTGCCTTGCGTGTTCTCCAGTTTCTCTCTGATCTTCCTTCATGTATTTATTTTTTATTCTTTATTCTTTCGTGGCACTGTCAAGATCAACATTTATTTACCATCCCTAATTGCTCTTAACCTTGACATTTCATGCGGCAGTTACAAGTCCACTACAATGTTAGAGCCTGTAGTCGCATTTAGGCCAGGCCAGGTAAGGATGGCAGATTCCCTTCCTGAAATGATTTTAGTGAGTCAGATGTGTTTTTACAATTTTGTAGAATTCATGCTGCCCTTTTGACTCATCTTCTTCTCACCTCATCCTGTTCCTGCTAAACTGCTGGCTATCCAGCTTCCCAACCTGGACCCAATGCTAAGGGGTGTTGTAAATGACTTCACCTCTCAGCGTTGTCCCTGTTTCAAAACTGCTGTCAACAACCCTTTCCCCTCAATCCTTTCTCTGTAAATAACTAACCTATATTCAGTCTCCTTCTACAAAAAGTGCTCTCCAGAAGCTTTGCGTTGGAATCTCTCCAGTCTGACTTCCACCTCCACTGCAGCTCTGAGAAAGTCTTATTCAATGTCATGAAGGTTATCGGTGATTGTTATCTTGGTGAACAATCGTCCAAATGCTGCAGGACCTTTTTGCAGCCCTTGACAAGTGGCCAACTCCTCCAATGTCTCATCGTTGCTGCACAGTTCACTTTAGACTGGACACACCGGGACATTTTCCACTGGAGCATAAGAAATTTAGGGATGACCTTATAGCGGTTTATAAAGTCATGAGGGGTATAGATAAGGTGAATGGCAGGTGTCTTTTCCCTAGGGTGGGGCATTTCAAGACTAGACAGCATATTTTTAATGAGACAAGAAAGATTAAAAAAAACATGATGGACAATTTTTATACAAAGAACGTGGTTTGCTTGTGGAATGAACTTCCAGAGGAAGTGGGTAGGCTTACAACGTTTAAAAGACATTTAGATCAATACATAAATAAGAAATGTTTGGGCCAAGCACAGGCAGGTGGGACTGACTTAGTTTAGGTTTATGGTCAGTGTGGACTGGTTGGGCCGAAGGGTCTGTTTCCATGCTGTATGATTCTATAACTCTATAACTGTGTTGTTTGTTTCTACACTCTACCCATTCATATGCAGAGCAGCCAACCTGCCTGTCTGGTATCCTGTCCTAGGCAACTCAAATTTTCTCACCTTACATTTTGTGAAGACCAAAATAATTGGTGCTAGTCTGAGCCCATGAACACTTTTTCCTCACTCCACTCCATGGCCATCGTCTCAGTTTGCAGGCAATTACTTTCAACCTATTTATGTTTTAT